ACCAGAAAAAATCCAAAATAGAAAAAGCAATCCTGGGCAACAAGAACAAGAGGCATCATAACTCCAGATTTCTAGTTACATTTCAAAGCTACAGTGATAAAAACAACAGGGCACAGACACAAAAACAGACACATGGGTCAGTGGAACAGAATATAGGGTGCAGAAACAAATGAAACTGCATCCAGCCATCTGATCTTTGACAGAGTGACCAAAAACATACACTGCAGGAAAGACAGCCTCTTTAACCAATGGTTTTGGGAAAACTGGCTACCCACATGCAGAAGATAAGCTAAATTCATACCTCTCAGATATACTGTACTAAAATAAAAATGGATCAGTGATGCTATTAAAACAGAAACATTTAACCTGCTGGAAGATAAAATAAGTAAAACTCTTAAGTCATAGGCATAGCGAAGGACTTTCTGAACAGAACCCAGCTGTACAAAAAATAACATCAAGAATCAATAAATAGGATCATATCAAATTAAAAAGCTTCTGCACCACAAAGGAGACAACCAACAGAGTGAAGACAACCCACAGAATGGGAGAAATGTTCGCCAGCTACACCTCAGACAGAAGACTAATACCCAGAATATACAGAGAACTTAAAAAATTAGACCCTCCAAAATAAAAGACCCAACCATAAATACAGAGCTGAAAGGAATAGATATTTCTCAGAGGAAGAAGAACAAATGACCAATAAATACATGAAAAAATTCAACATTGCTGATCATCAGAGCAATGCAAAGTAACACTGAGAGTCCATCTTACTCCAGAGAGAATGGCCACCATTAAGAAATCCAATAATGACGAGGCTTCCAGGGGAAAAGTACCCTTTCTACATTGTTGGTGGGAATGTCAATCAGCACAACCATTATGGACGTCGGTATTGCAATTCCTCAAGAAATGAATGGTAAAAATTCCACTTAACCCAGCTAATCCCCTTCTAAGTATCTTTGTGAAAGAATTAAAGACATTGTATTACAGAGATACATGCATACTCATGTTTATCATAGCACAACTTAAAATAGTTAAATCTTGGAAGCTGCTCCTATGTCTACCCACAGATAAATGGATAAAGAAAATGTGGTATTTATACATGGTGGAGTACTACTGTGCCATAAAGAAGGATAAACGAGTCATTTGTAGGAAAACAGATGCATCTTGAGAACATAATGTTGTGAAATAAATCAGACACACAAGCGTAAGGTTTCTCTTACGTGAGAAACTCTAAAAATAAATCAAAGAGCAAAATAAAAGATAGGGAACAGGAAACAAGGAGATGGATCTTTTGCAAATGGGAAGAGGATTAAGAGATGGTGGGAAGAGGGGCAGAAAAGGGAATATCGACATAATTAAGATGTGCTATGTAAATGTATCAAAATTAATTGTAAGTTCAAATACTGCTTTAATGTGTAGCTCTATTGTATATTATGTTTAAAAAAATAGAAAGTAACCCACTGGTGGTGAACTCAAGGCACGCATGGCACAGCCATCTGTTATCACTGAAAGTTCTACAAGGTTTGCCATCACTAGAGTAACCCTATAAGCAAAAACACAATATTCATCAGCTAACAGTTGTGGACATGTTCACAGTGCATTCAATCATTATCATTTGAATAAATGAATACTGCCATTTAAATACTGCATGTGTTCTTTATATATTCTACATGTTAGTCCTTTGAGAAGCAGCTGGTAAAATTTTTATCCTATTCTGTAGGTTGTCTCTTCACTCTGTTGGCGGTTTCTTTTGCTGTGCAAAAGCTCTTTAATTTGATATCTCAGTTGTTGATTCTATTTCCTGTGTGATCAAGGTTTTGTCCATAAAGTCTTTGCCTAAAACTATGTCTTCTAGAGTTTTACCTATTCTTTACCTATTCTAAAAGTTAAAAAGATTGAGATGTGATATAAACAGAAAATATCACATTTAAAGCTTTTCACATGAAAAATTATGTAAAATATTTCACTTTTTTTGCTGATTGCATCCTGAAATGACAATATTTTGGGTGTATTGGCTTAAATAAAATATATTATTAAAATTTAAAAAGATATAGAAACTACTGCAAACATTTGTGTTTAAATACAGTAACCATGAAACATTAGCTAGAACAACTGGCAAGAGAAAGACATAAAAGGAATATGTAGGAAAGGCAGAAGTTAAATTATCCTTATTTGCAGATGATATGGCCCTTTATATAGAAGGCCCAAAAGATTCCACCAAAAGTCTTCTACAATTAATAAGCAAATTCAGCAAAATAGCAAGATACAAAATCAACACACAAAAATCAATAGCATCCCTATATATGCTTCCAGCAGATTGTTTTTGTTTTATATTTAGATCTCTGATCCATTTCCATTCTTGGGTTTTTTTAAATTTTAAAGATAGTAGTAAAAAAAAAAAAAAAGAACAATAGCAAAATACCAACATCACAGACATAAAAAAATCAAAGCAAGAACATTAAAACTGATACAGGGTTTCAAACCAAAATGATAAGAATTAACAGTGGTTGTTATATTGCATATTGTTATCTTCAACTAAATTGCTTAGATTACCAGATGTAAGAATGGAAGACTGTTCAAACCATTAAAGAGAATAAAAAAAATAATTATTAAAAAAATTAGAGATGATACAGAGTTTCACTAGGCACAATGGTAGGAATTCACCAATGGTTGTACTATGGCATGTTGTTGTCTTCAAATCAGTTGCTCAGATTACCAGATATAAGCATGAAAAATTGGTCAAAATATAAAAAACTTTTAAGCATTAACTGTTCCTTTCAATAAACCACCAGACAGCAGCAGTACAGTTATCCCAGCTATATAAATGTCTTCCTTTTTCTTTCTTTCTTTTTCTTCTTTCCCTCATCGCAGTTGTTCCTTCCTTTGAGCAATTTCTTTCCCTTTTACATTATCTATTGTATGTTTTGGGCTTTATTTACTCTTTCAGGTTTTTACACTAGGGAGACAATGTGATGTTTACACATATGGGTCCAATTTATTTCACTTATGAGTATGATTTCTAGTTACATCCATTTACTTATAAAAGCCTCAAATTTATCTTTTTTTCCTCAGAAGAATTAAAAACATCGTACCGCAGTGATATATGTGCACTGTTTATAGCTGCACAATTTGTTATAGCTAAATCTTAGAAACAACCCAAATGTCCATCAACTGAGGAATGGATAAAAAAAGATGTGGTATTTTTATACAATGGAGTATTACTCAGCCATTTCCATTTTAGTTTAGTGCATGGTGAAAGATATGGGTGTAGGTTCAATTTTTGGCATGTGGGAAGCCAGTTTTCCCAGCACCATTTATTAAAGAGGCTATCTTTCTTTCAGTGAAGGTGTTTGGTCCCTTTGTCAAAGATAAAATAGCTGAGTGTGCTTGGAGTTGTTTCTGTATTCTGTATTGTTTCACTAATCATTAGGTCTGGTATTTTGTTTTTGCCAGTACCAGGCTGTTTTTATCATAGTAGCTTTGTAGTATAACTTCAAGTCAGGGACTGTGAGGTCCCCTGCCTTGTTTTTGTTGCCCAGAATTACTTTTGCTATTCTAGGCCTTTTCTGGTTTCAAATGAATTTTAGGATTCTTTTCTCTTGTTCTGTGAGGTAAGCTATTCACATTTTGATTGGGATTGCATTAAATCTGTACAGTAGTTTTTAAAGTTTGGTCATTTGTGCAATATTGATTCTGCCTATCTGATAACAAAGGATATCTTTCCATTTTCTGATATCTTCTTCAATCTCCTTTTTCATAGTACTGTAGTTTTCAATGTACAGGTTTTTTACCTGCTTTGTTAGACTGATTACTAAACATTTTATTTTTCTTGATGCTATTGTGAAAGGTGTGGTTTTCCTAATTTCTCTCTCAGTGACCTTGTTATTGTGTACAGGAATGCTTTTGAGTTTTGAATGTTGACACTGTATCCTGCTATGCTGCCAAGTTTTCTTACTAATTCTAGGAACCTTTTGGTGGAGTTTTTGGGGTCTTCTATATAGATTATCATGTCATCAGTATGGAGAGTCCTCAAAAAATTAGAACTAGAGGTTCCATTTGGCCCAGCTGTTCCCCTTCCAGGTGTCTTCCCCCAAAGAGTTAGAAGAATCATAACAGTGATATATGCACACCCATGTTTATGGAAGCACAATTTATAATAGCTACATCTGGGAAACAACTCATATGCTCATCATAACAAGATGAATAGATAAAGAACATGTGGTATTTATATACAATGGAGTACTACCCAGCCATGAAGAAAGATAAACTTCAGTCATTAGTAGGAAAATGGATGTACCTCCAGACCATAATCTTAAATGAAGTAAATTGGGCACACAAGTTTAAATATCACATTGTTTCTCTTGTTGAGAAACTCAGAGAGTAAACAAGGAGGATAGATACTGGGAAGTGGGAAGAAAATATTCAAACGGGAAGGGTCACAAGAGAGGTGGGAGGGGAGACGGAAGGAAGGGGAAAAAAGAGAATGGGAGGGAAAATCATGGAAATACAGCTGTGTAAATGGGGAGGAGCAGAGGGTGTAAGGGAGGGGAGGGGAGTGAGAGAAAAAAGAATGAAGACGTATCATGTACAGGCACAAATTCCCTATCATGAATGTGATCCACATGGATGACAAGTATGTACTAATTAAAAAAACAAGGTAAACAAAAGAATTTACAAAAAAGGGTAAATCGTACTGCATGTGTACAGATCTACTTTTTGCACCTCAGTTTTTTCCTATTGTAGGGAGACAGGAGAGGTTGCAACCTCTCCCTGGCTTGTGCAGGGCCTGCATCATTTCTGGAGCCAGCTCGTTTTTCTCAGCAGCCTGGGGTTGCATCCAAATGTGACACCGATGCCTTAGCACCCGCTGTCTCTTTCTCCTCTTCCTCCGGAACTGCCTGGAGTTGTAAGGGGTTCAATCCCGATGAAATGACACAATGCCCAGAAATGCAGGCGTGCAGCCCACACGTGGCTCAGGGCCCTGGGAGCCCGCCTCTTACCTTTGTCATAGATTTCCTTCAGGACGCCTCGCTTGATCAGCTCCTCTCTGCTCTGCCTCATCGAGATCTTCCTCTCCAGGGCTGCAAGCAAGACAGACGGGCAGGTGTGAGCAGGGGACAGCATTTTGCTTTTATCACATGTGAGCACTGATATGCAATGAAGTGGATAGAAAAGCTTCTGCACATGATATTTTGCTGACATGATTAATACTTTTTAATGAGTCGATGAGACTTTTAAACAAAAAATTATTTTTTTGTGTGTGTGGTACTGGGGATCCAACCCAGGGGTGTTGTATAAATAATAAATTTTTAGTTTTTTATTAGTACATGTTTGCAGCGCATGTTTGCATTCCTTGTGGGGAATGTATGTAACACATCTTCATTCCTGTTTTTCATCCCTTCCCTTGCCTCTGTCCCTCTCCCACCATCTTCTGATTCTCTTCCCAATTAATACAATCACAGTGGAAGTCAGTGTGGAGAGTCCTGAAAAAACTAACACTAGTCATTCCATTTACCCAGCTATTCTCCTTCTAGGCATCGCCCCAAAAGAGTTAAAGACATCGTATTACAGAGATACTTGCATAGCCACGTTTACAGCAGCACAACTCATAATAGCTAAATCTTGGAAGTGGCCTATACATCCATCAACAGATAAATGGGTAATGAGGATGTAGTATTAACACAAAATGGAGTACTACTTAGCTGTAAAGAAAGATAAATTTGAGTTATTTGTAGGAAAATGGATGTACCCTGAGACTATAAGACTAAGTGAAATAAGATACATAAGCCTAAATATCACACAGTGATCTTGTGATCTTCCTGTCTCAGCCTCCTGAGTAACTGGGATTATAGGGATGCATCACCTCGTCTTTTAATTACATTATTTTGATAAGCTTTTTAAATCAGGTTATTTTGTCAAATCTTCAAAACAACTTTTATATCACCTAAAAGATGGTCACTTTGATGAATGTGATTTCACCTTAAATTCTGATGTAGCCATGGTGGGGAGGCTTGGCATACTGTCATCATCTGCTACTGAGAAAAACATCAGGACATCAAGCCAGACCCAGGCCCTCTGCCCTCAGCCTCCCTCAGCCTCCCAGAGTACTGGGATTTGAGGCATGCGCTGCTACACAGGCTGTGCACAGCTCCTTAAACACACTGCCATGGAGTTGTACACTTACAATGAATTAATATTACGTTGTGTGAGTGGTACCTCAATTAGGCTGTTGAAAAAAGAGCGGTAAAAACAGTAACCGTGAAGAAAAATAGCCAGGATGACAGCAACGTTGATTTTAAAATTTAAACAGTAAATCTAAGCAGACCATTAAGAAATTAATAAACCTTGGGTCATTGAGAGCAAAGTGGTCGACACTAAAATAAAAGGATTAGAACTACTGCACATTAAGATAGATTTTTTTGAAAAGCAAGGTACTTTTTTTTTTTAACTCTAACAACTAATCAGCAGACCCAAAATAGAAAAAGCAAGAACAAATTCTCCTAACATGAACATGCAGCTCATGTAGCAGCCAATGCAATGCTCTGATCTTTGGGAAAAAAACCTGATTTCCAGTCTGCAGTAAATACGTCGTCACAGGCTTTCTGGTGGCACTGTGGCAAATGAAGCATCAAAACAGAACACAGAAAGCAGCAAACACACCACCTGAGATCCTAACGCCAACAAGTGAGGAGGCCCAAAGAGAGAAAGGGAAACAGAAATACTGATTTGCTTTTCTAGATCAAGGACTTAGTGGAGTAGATCCAAACGCATTAGAAGCTTCACATATCCCTCTCTGCCTGAAATATGAGCGGGAGGCTGACTTCTCAATTACTGCACCAAAAGTAGCCCCAAATGGCTCAACACAGCCATGTTCAGAGGTAAAGATGTCCAAGGAAGGCTCTCAGCTCACCACTGACCTTAACACAACAACTAGGCAGGAAACCTCAAAAGGTTATCTCGGCATCACCTACCTCTTCTGCCTTAGCAGAAGATTTTTATTCTGTAATTGTGATGTGTGGACATCATGAGGCCTGGCCTGAACCTGGATGGGCCACTTTTCCTGGGGCGGGCCAGCTCCTGGAGCCAGGAGTGACTTTCTTGGGGCATGCTTTCATATGCAGGCAGCCCATCCGGAGCCCACAGTCACAACCACCTCTTTGTCCAGTTCTGACACTCAGGTCACTGTGTGTTTATTTTAGTTGCCCCAGAGCCAGGTGCCAGACAACTAGAGACAGCCCCTAGCCCTCACAGCCTACTCATGGTATTCACATACCAGTCCTGAAGCTGCTGACTTCATCTCACCTGCTCCTTCCCATGGAAACCACAATAAAAGCTCTCATCCATATTTCCTCCTGCTCCCTCTGCCTCCTGGCCAATCCTGGTGCTTCCCTGGGTGGCCCTGGTGGTATGGTGGGTGTCCTCCCCTGGGTATCTGAGAATACACCAGACTGTCTTTTCAATGACATGTCTGCTAGTCTGCTGGCATTACCACAGCTGGGCAGTAAGAATGGCTACTATGATGGTTAAGCTGCATGTCAACTTGAGTGTCTTGAGAGCCACCTAGGGGATTAGTAAAGCACCCTTCTGGATATGTCTGGGTGGGACCTGGAGGTGTGACCTTGGGGACTACGTGTGGTCCCAGCTCCTTTCTCTGTTCCCCTGCTCTGATTCCTGCTTGCCATGGATTGACCAGCTCTGCTCCTCCAGGGCCTCTTACCATGCCATTTCTGCCTTGGAGCCACCCAACTATGGACTGAATCCTCTGAACTTGTGAGCCAAAATCAACCTCTCTCTTTTTAAATTGTAAGTGTAAAGTATTTTTTTCCTGGTGAAGGGAAAGGTGTGAAATACATCTACATTTTAAAACACACCTATCCTTGCATGGGTTCCTAAGGAAGGAAGAACTAGGGGGTATTTCACAGTCTAATGTTTCCCTTTATTATTCTGAAATCTGTTTACATGTGAACAGATGGTTTCCAAATGAGGGGCCCAGTGAAAACAGCCTAAAGGAAAACTCTAATGACAGAGTGATAAAGTCCTAATGTCATCATTTTTGTAAAGCTCTCTTCTGAGCCACCACTGTAGTCTATGACATATACCTTAAAATCCGGTTTCCCATCATCTCTCCTTAATTTTTCATCCTCTCTAGTCACGTGGGTTTGTGACAGGTGAAGGACTCCTGTGCTTCTGTGATACCAATGAATTTAAAATAAGCATCTCAATTTGGGGTGAAGCTCAATGGTACAGTGCTCGCTTAGCATGCATGAGGCCCTGCTTTTGAACCCCAGCACAACACACAAAATAAATAAAGATAGATAAATGAAATAAAGTTAGCATCATGGATAGGCTCATTCTCTTTAGTGCATGCCTGGGTTGGATGAATTTGATGAAACTGAGACTTTTTAAAAATTCTTTTCATATACATATACTTTAATTCCTTTATCTATGAAAATATTTCACTGTAAACAAATTCAAGAAATATAGAGAAAACAAAGTCCTTTCTTGCATTCTCCTTCTATAAATCCAACTCACTGAATCCCACCAGGGCTATTTTCATTTGGGATTTTCATTTTCTTTCCCTCTGTCTTTTGCTCTCAATATTCGCATTACCCTCATACTGTATGTAAATACTGTTTTAAAAAAACCTAAACAGGATCATTATGCCATATGATCCTATAAGTCTTTTACTTCTTCTGCCTTACCAGCTTTAGGGATCTTCCCCTCTATACATACTGGATCACCTCATTCTTTTTGAACACTCTATGCCATTTCACAGGATGCGAGCACCATAATTTATTGCCATTTCTTTGAGACTTTTGGCATAAACACCACTTCTATGCACTCACATGTTCATACCAGTGTAAACATGTATTAGAATTTTTCCAGGCTATGTATCTAGATGTACAATTTCAGAGCAGGTCATTTTTTTTATATGCTCCTAGTACTGATGGGAAGAAAAAACAAAGTCTTTATGTTTCATAACTTTTAAGCACTGCTTTTTTATTTTTAAAAAAGATAAGAAAGTGGGAAAAAAAGCAGTACTGAGGCTGGAACAAGTCATTTGGTCCTGCTAAGAGTAATGGAGCAGAGACCTGTCTAGATTTTTTCCAAGGATCATCTATCTCTGTTGAATTTCCTGCTCAGCTGCCTTTAAATTACATTCTGAAGGGAATGTAAGTTTGAAAGGGAAAAAGCAACTGAGAAATAAAGTGTGCAGCAGTGTACTGCAGTCTTGAAACTTCAATTTAAAACACATAACTTTCAAGTAAAATCTGTAGCTTTTATCTCCTTAAATTTTTTACAATGCAGGGGGAAGGGAATTTTAAACTAGAAATCTACAAATGGAATGAGTTTCCAGAGCCCAGAAAAGCCTCCACGTCCCATCTGCCCTCATGAAATTGGGGACTCTGATATGATACAAGAGCCAGAGCCTAGATAGATCCCAAGTAGAACACTCAGCCCACGCGTTAACATCATGCAACCATGAACTCCCAGAAAAACCCAAACACGACATTAACCAACATGTATGCTATCTTTAGAGAACATGCTTTAATTTTTTTAAAGACGAAGAGACTTTCACCATGAAATTTATAGGCACAATATCTGAAAGAAGAGAAATGGGAGCAAGGATTTGGAGAAATGGGAAATATATGGTGGTCTTCCATTTCACAAGACTACACAGCTCATGTCAGTTCATCTTTTATTTCATAAGGAAACTAACGTGCAAAGCGACAAAATTGTCGATCTGAATACTATGTTGAAAAAGAAAAGAATGAAAAAGAGAAAAGAACACAATGTTAAAACCTGTCTAGTTGTCTCATTGTATGAAAAATATATCCAAGGTAAAGCCATATTAATCCAGTTTGGGAATACTGTATCTTTCACTAATTCAGTTGTTGACGAGTTCTAGGAAGATCTAAGCGTTTGCCAATAGTCTAGTTATTGCTGTGTAAAAAGGGTTTCAATTACTTGACCATCCAAGGAGAGTTTATTGCACCACTAATCCAAAATGAGAAAAGAAAAATGCTTTTTAATTTGGCAATTAACTTCAAGTGATCCTCATCAGAAAGGTTGACCACTT